ACCAAGTTGGATTCCCAAATTCTGTTACACTAAGACACCAACACTTGTCATTTCCTTTTCTCAACCAAATTACATCTACATTCGTATGCTTAAAAGAGCTTTGCTTTCAGCAACAAAACTAATTTTTGCGGATACACTCAGATGATACCAGGACTAGAGACCAGAAAAACAAGCTCCATTGTGCTGGAAACAATGGAATGTCCACACATATTGATAGCTGCTTCCAGCGACCCAACTGCTGCATGTTTTTGAACCGTTTCAAATGTATAACTAAGATGTGTCATAATCTGCGCTTCTTGAAAACTGCACAAAATAGCATGAATAAAACAGCCTCAGTCAATGATTTGAGTATGAAACCGAAACAAACTTTTACGGGAGTCTCGCACAGAGTAGAACTGATTACAAGGACTCGACTTGACATGAAGACTTTTGCTGAGTAATATGAGACAGAATGTGGTAAATGCCAACTCAAGGATTACTGAAAGTGAGGAATTAGAGTATGAAAAGAAACATCATTCCTGTAGAGCTGAAGTTTTTCAGATCAACGGCGACCATGTTTTGTTTAAAGGAATCCATTCATGTGATGAAGCTTTGTACACATTCGGATTCGTACTCGGAAGGAGAGATCATCAAATCAAATCTTGTTCTGAGCTTCTCTCAGCATGATCATCAAAATCGCCGTGTATGATGGAGGAATACACGGCGGAGAATATACAGAGTGTTCGGGATCTCTTCGCCGGAAAATTTGTTTGTGGACTCTGTTCCGAGGCGGTGAAGTACGAGATTTTCCGGCGAAGAATCGGAGTCGATGAAGCTTTAGCGATTCACTTAAGGTTTTACAGCGAGTTTTTTGCTTCTCCGTCTCCGACGATATATTTCATATCGGCGATCGGAGAGATGTTTAGGAGAAGACTGTAATTCTTGATTTGCCGAGAATGACGTCAGCTCCGGCGAGTATAACGGCGGTGGAGAGTGGGGGGGGGGGGATTTGTGCTGCGGTGGTGATGGGTGGTTGTTTGCCTGCTTTGTCAGGAGGTGTGTAGATCGGAATATTCGATTTCCCGGCGAAGAATCAAAACAGATTTTTTTATTACTAATAATTAAGATCGTTATTATCTTTCAAGTCCAAAACCCATACAAACATCAACCAAAATATGACATTAAACCGGTTACGTAAATTTCTGAAATTATTAACCGAAGTTGATTCCTTGTGCTAAAGGTAATTCATTTCCATAGTTGATCGTACTGTAAAAAAAACAAACCGGTTCAAAAATCAAAAACTTAAACCAGAAATTTTGACAAAAAGAAATAAATTTTGACTTTTTACCAAGTAGATCGGCGCATATACTGTTTCCATGAGTCACTTCCGGCGATCGAATCACTTCTCCATCGTTATTTCAAGATCAAAATTCACAATGACCTTCTGTATAGCCTTCAAATGGCTTAAACAAAAGAGAATGCTGATTTGGGGTAAGATTTTCATACTTAGTGGACTTCCATTATATTCCACTTCGAAACCAAAGATAAAAGATCAAGCCTTTTACACATATAGAACCAGAACTTGGAGGAAAATGAAGCTGTGGAGAGAAATATAGAATTCATAATCAAATACCTCAATCTTGTTTAGCATTTGCTGGATTGGTTATCCTTGTCCTTATGGTATTGAAACTTGATTGAAGTGTTTCAATGGTCGTTTCCATCTTTGATTTTTGTATTATACAAGTGTTTCCTATCTCCAAAAGTTCCACTAATCAATACCAAAACTTGTACAAGACATACATCATCATTTTCAATTGTAGCATTTTTTACCTAGGGTCTGCTTGCCTATACCGAGGATGAAGTCAAGGATGCTACTTCATATCTTTTAAGTTGTGCCTCTCCAAACTCCGTAATGAAATTCAAGCGGGAKGTCTTCCACACTTGCAATTGAAGATCATCTTAGAGTAGATCAAGAAAAAGCTTCGCTTGTTATTTGTTGGTTAGTTTTATGTTAGTTTTAAGACTTTTCGTAGTATCATAAGGCTAAAATCTTCTGAATGTTGGTCTTCAGTTATAATAGTTATCTTCTAATTTTGTAGGATGCTCTTTCTCCTTCTATTTGAGGAATCAATAATAGCTTACCGGGTTCCATGGCAAAGGAAGCTCTACACTCTAGAAACTCGCTTGTAGCATTTTTTTACATGGACCATTTTGTAACAAGTATAATACTTTGGTGTTGCTCTTGTGTTTCTGAAACCATTTGGACTTTTTGAGAAATTTTCAAGGGTTGGAGATTCTTCAACTTGGACATTAAAATGTTAGAGATCTCTATGCATTCCATGTTACTTGGTTAAAACATGTCAAGGTTCCAGTGATAAAGATAGAGCTGTCTCACACCACATATACCTTTTCTCGTTGGTTATGTATACCATGTATTTATTACTTTTGTCACAACATATATTGAGTTTGAAAAAATCAAGCGAAATTGTAAGAAAAATTAAGCGAAATTGTAAAGGTATAAATGTTGTTGACTTCACCATTCCTTCATAACTTGAGTTTGATTGTGATCTATATCATCATAAATATCACTAAATCATCAAAAGAGCGACCGAGCCAATACCCATTTAGCCATAATTCCTTTGTCTTTCTCTTTCCATTTTTTAGTTCTTTTGATAGAATGTGGTAACATAATGATTTGCTTGCAAATTTGCAATGTTGAATATATATCAGTTATTATTTTATTTTTATTTTTTTGTCACAAAATATATATGGGTTAATTAGCTGAATATTACTTTTGAGACCAATAATTAAGAAATTAACATATCCAACAAAATATTTAGGTAACTAGGAGAGAGAATTAAAAATATGACAAAATTGCCTTTATAACTATAATTAAAGTAAACATATATAAAAAAATCTCTAAAAATCTTCTCTTGACTTCATCCATAAAATACTGCTCCTGCGAGTCTATCTTAGCAAAATGTAGATTTGTATTGTGCACAACTGTTTTAAGAAAAAAAAAATTGGATCAGAATATGACAAAAAGAATAAAATGCTGTAATAGTTAACTATTCTATAATACTACATAATTAACTACTTCACACTATTTTGAACTATCTAAAAACATAGTTAACTATATTCACAAAATAGTTACCAATTTTTAAAATAGTTAACTACTTTTAGCAAATGGTTACCAATTTAAAAATATAGTTAACTATTTCCAAAGCATAGTTGACTACACGAAAATGTTGTTTTAATACACTTATTTAAACAACATAGTTAACTACGTTTAAAAACATAGTCACTTATTTAAACAACATAGTTAACTACGTTTAAAAACATAGTTAACTATATTATAAACCTAGTGACCTATTATATTACATAACAAAAAAATAACA